CTGGGACCTTCCCTGGTCCTTGCACGGGCTGGCCACCCGGGACCCGGGCGGCCCGGCTGGTAGCCTAGAGAACAAGTAAATACTAAGGAGCCACCGCCTCACAAAAACAAAAAAAAATCGCCAATAGATTGAGCAACCCCACAGGCAGAAAAAAAAAATAAAAAAAATAAAAAAAATCTTATTCTACAAGCTGAATCAAAAGGATGCCAGGCTGGCCTACCAACCGGGCCGTCAGGTTCACCTTGGTTGCCCGGCCAGGTCGCCTACAGTCTTACCCCGAATACAACATACGGTCATTACAGCTGAATTTAGACTGAAAGATGCAGCAGATTCAGCTATAATAACCGTACGTTGTATTCAGGGGAAGACTGTAGGCAAGAGCCAGGGAAGGTCCCCTCGGGACATCCGCCAAAATTGGAACGATACAGAGAAGATTAGCACGGCCCCTGCGCTTCCAAGGATGACACGCATCAATCGAGAAATGGTCCAAAAAAAAAAAAAAAAAAAAATTCTTTATTTAAGAAGGAAATCCAAAAACGACATCTTTATCGAATTCAAAATTGAATTCAAAATTCATAATAACATTAATAATGTACCCTCAACAAGGAACGGCGCACAGACTGCAACTGGTTAAGTATTATAGTATAATTATACATTATTCCACAAGCGACGAGTTAACCCCGGTGGCATTACCCATATGCCGGAAACCCCGTCTGACGCAAGTTTTCTGTGTCTTTATTAAAAAAAAAAAGAGGCAAAATAAAAAGGCGGTCTGCAATTTTTTTGTGCAAACCAAGCTCTCGACAGGAGGGAGGGAATGTGCGATGGACGCCAAGGCACGAGCAAAACAAAACGAAGGTATAGATGAAAGCCTCACACAGAAAGTATTGATATAATCGAGTAATAACGAGAAGAGAGCAGAGGCGCAGTGTGCTTGATGCTTACGCAATTCCTGAAGTAGAACTCACATAAACGCAGGCTCCGTCTCTTCTGAAAGGCTCACTCCATACACGTGAAATCCCACGAAGCAGCCTGACGCTCACCCGATTGTTGAGGTAGAACTCACATGAATGCCGGCTCCGTCCGGTGTGAAGGCTCCCTCGAAAAACTTGAAATCCAAAGAAGCAGTCTGGCCCTGTGAGCTCAACTGTTTCGTGATGACGTCCACCACTTATTGCCTTAGTCTTTGCAATACAGAATGCAGCAGATGTCTTCACAGGTACACCGATTTTTTTTAGACCAGACGAATCAAGCAGACGAGTTGTCGTCATAGATACCCTGATGCACTTCCATAGCCAGCAACACAACCTACTTCATACTTCTTCTTCTGCTTCTTCTTCTTCTTCCTCCTCTTCTTCTTCTTCTTCTTCTTCTGGACACAAAAAACCTGCTTTCTTTCCACTTTTTTGCCCCGTGGCTATATATGAATTCGCCGTGGATGTTCAGCTGCCGTGGCCTCGGGCAGTCATGGGTCTAGTCCGTAGTGTTGCGCCTTCTTCTCCTTCTTCTTCGGGTACATATCAGAGCCTTGGCGCTGCAATGTTCTGCTCGCTGGGAACCACCTTCCTCCTCCTCCTCCTCCTTCTGGTACATATCAGAGTCTTAGAATCGCAATCTTCTGCTCGCCGGGACCACCACACATGATATACCATCCTACACGTACTTGTGCATATCAGAGCCTTGGCGCTGCAATGTTCTGCTCGCTGGGAACCACCTTCCTCCTCCTCCTCCTCCTCCTCCTCCTCCTCCTCCTTCTGGTACATATCAGAGTCTTAGAGCCGCAATCTTCTGCTCGCCAGGACCACCACACATGATATACCGTCCTACACGTACTTGTGTCCGCAAATAACCCCATCTGACCTGATTCCACCCCAACCTCACCACATTGCAGTCAAAAACGTTTTCGAACTTCTACTGCCAATCAGCAGAGCCACAACACAACGAAGAATCCGGCGAAGAATCCTCCTGTCCTGTGTACCCATGTCCGAGAACATGCCGACGACCAATCATCTCCCAATCCAATGTTGTCCCAATCACAGACCTCAAAACCTTTTGACAGCGGTGTGCGCTCTCTCGCTTGCCATTACCCCGCATTTTGCCGACTACTACAAATTGCATCACCAGCATCGCTGATTGCAATAATGCCTGAAAAAAAACTCACGGCCTTCACAAACCCATCAGCATCACCAACATGAAAAGCAGCTAGAGTCCGTGACCAGCCAGGGCCAAACCCCTTTCCTCTGTGATCGGGACACAAGAACTGTCCAAGAGACAGATCGTCCAGATCTTCGGATTATAAGACGATGACTGGCCATCCATTGTCTACGCTGGGATGGGAGACTGAAAACTTTGCAAAGAGGTTGTGACGAAAATTGATTCTTCTTCTTCAATGCAATCGTTTCGAATGGGAGACGCTACATCTCATGTAGAAAAAGTGGGCTCGGCCGGGAAAGCCTGGATCGAGAACAAGGGCAGCGACTCGTTTTCGAAGAGAAAAAGGACCGAGACTTTACCAAGGCGGTACGACCTGTTGCAGGTCCGCAACTCTTTCTCCATATTGTTCCACCGCCCCTGCACACAGCTCAAAGAGACCCCGTTCACCTCACACGGCACGTCTCTTACGGGAAGGTGGGGCTCAGCGTGGAAAACATTCGCCGACGAGAACAGTCGGCCGGGTCATCCTCCAAGCGAAGCATTCGTCGACAAGACCAGACGAGTGGATCATCTTCCAAGCAAAGAAGGGGCTTGCTTCGGCTACCAGTGACCACCGCCACGTCCACTGCAAAATCACAGCTCCCGCTTCAGGCGAACACCGGCTCGAACTCTGACAGGAAAAGAAGAAGCTCTCAATAACATCGAGGGACTTGAGAATTCGAACTATACGGGTATCCGTGAGCCTCGTAGCTTAACATGTGGTTCGCTTCGTAGCTTAACATGTGGTTCGCCTCGTAGCTTAACATGTGGTTCGCCTCGTAGCTTAACATGCGGTTCGCGGGGTGGACATTTGGATCACGCCGTACTACGGCTCGCAATGACATCCGGGGACTCGACAGTTCGAACTTCGTGTTATTTGGTGTGTCAAAGGTCAACAGAGTCCTTCTATAGCACAGGGATTTGGAGGACACCAAGCCGCCTCATGGGCGGGCAACAGGCATGCACTGACGATGGATCACAACACCAGAGGAATTCAGAAATGTCGAGGGCCCATAACCTTTCAAAGCACCAAAGTCACCATTCTTCAAAGCACCGGGTCAAGCGTTTCTGATTGGTCAAGGAGTCTGATACACAGAAAATTTGGCATGCAGCTGCAACCACTTCCTCGCAATGAAGCCACCATTCTTCGTAGAGCCGGCTCTGCGCTTCTGCATGGGGTCGATTCGCCACGCATGTCCGGAAAATTTGGCGTGCAGCTGCGACGAGATTCTTGCACCAAAGCCATCATTCTTCAAAGCGCCGGGTCAAGCGCTTCCGGACCCTATAGTCAGGAAAAAAATTGCATGCAGCTTAAACAAGAACCTTGCAACGAAGCCACCATTCTTCGAAGAGCCAGGTCTGCGGTTCTGCATGGTCGATGGGCCACCCGATGAATTTTTTCTGCGCGCAGAGTGGCTGCTACCAGAACCTTGCACCAAAGACACCATTCTTCAAAGCGCCGGGTCAAGCGCTTCTGGGCCCTATTGTCAGAAAATTTGGCATGCAGCTTAGACCAGAGCCTTGCACTGAAGCCGGGTCTGCGCTGCTGCATGGTCAATCGGCCACCCGATAGTCGGGAAATTTGGCATGCAGCTGTCACCGGAACCTTGCACCAAAGACACCATTCGTCAAAGCGCCGGGTCAAGCACTTCTGCTGTCCCATGCGCACCCAATAGTAGGAAAATTTGGCCCACAGCTGCAATCAGAAACCTGCTAACTCAATCGAGGATGATACCGTTGACATCACTTTGCCTCGGGATCGACCACCACATTGCAGGCTGCCGTCGCGACGACGCGTCTCCCGTCGCACGCTATAACTAGTTCAGGCGAATCGTTGTTCACACCTCCAGGCTGCTACCGCAAAGCGCGGGAGCTCGACCTATAGAAACATGTACCTGCAGCAATTCCTCAGATAGGAAATACCCCTGCTCCTCCTAAACCGCAACCGACCTCATTACGGGAAAGAAATCCGCTAATTTAAAGTAACTTACGAAGAGAACTGCTGACAAGGACGGAGTAGTGAGTCGACAGACAAGAATTCACAGAGATCCCGGTGGTGTTGTCGTGTCAAAAATCCATCTCACACCTACTACCTTCCTGGCGGCGCCATGCCAATTACACCTCGCACCTTTTCCCCCACATGGCAGAGATTGCTGGGAAGCTTCACAGGACACTGTCATACCGCCTGCCACTTGGCAGGAGTTGGCGAATCGCAGTCGAAGAATCGAAGTTCCCCGAAGCTGATGAATCGAGAAGTTCGATGGAGTTGAAGAATCGAAGTTCGCACGGCGCTCAACTGGATTACTACTGCTAGCGCCGCCTCCGGGGTCTAAACCGAGAGAGGAGAGGGCCACTTTCTGACGCCAGAACTAGGTCCCTTCCCCTGCCATGACCTTGGCGGGAACTTTCTGACGTCAGCCAGAACTAGGTTCAAATCCGAACCATGGTGGGAACTTGCGCTCTATAGGTCCCTTCCCACGCAGTGACCTTGGGGTAGAATGGTCATCACGATAGATATCAGGCCCCACAACCAACCACCTGCTCTGAATGGCCTTCACGATAAAGTCGTCATCACAGCAGCGGACATCACGCCCCAAGCAACTACCTTTCCAAAATAGGAAAATGAGTAACTCAAACAGGGGAGGGGCATGGCATTGTGATCGCTGGATTCGATCCAAGTCCAACCCCATTCCTTCCTTCCCTCTTCATCCAACACCATCATCCCTTAAACCTTTTTTAAAGGGCCATCTAGACATTTGGACCTTTTTTCAATTTATGGGGGTCATCCTTGAGTGCGCAGGGGCCATGCTAATCTTCTCAGTATCGTTCCAATTTTAACCGATGTCCCATCATTCCACTACCGTGGACTCTGATGAATCCGAATGAATCCAATAACCGCCTTTACACTGTTTACAGTCCCCAATAAAGAGACAACAAACACTCAGCAGGGGAGGTTTCTGCAGTACTGGAACCAACCTGCGACTGCTTTCATCGGAGCCATTGGCACGATCCACAACGCCACCACAGTCTCTCTTAAAAAAAAAAAAAAAAAAAAAAAAAAAAAAAAAAAAACACCTGCAATAGCTACCTGAGAGACCTTGCATCACCTTGCAACTGTCCCATCACGCATAAACCCCTTCTAAAAATCTCCCACCATCCGGACTTATCCCATCAACGGTCCATTTGAAAGCGCCCTGTCCTTGGCGCGATCGCGTGTCATGCATCCCTGTGAAACCGTCCCATCACGCATACATGTCCCTTCGAGAACTCTCCCAGCATCCGCACTATTGCACAATGTGTGCCTTGGAAACTGTCGGGGCCATATACCACCAGATTGTCAGAGAGTCATTAAACATGACTTCATACAACGTATTGAAATCACCGCCAGACAGAGAGCCCCTCCCTCACCGCCAGACAGAGAGCCCCTCCCTCACCGCCAGACAGAGAGCCCCTCCCTCACCGCCCGACGATTGCAGCGTAGTGAAATCGCCCGCAGCAGTGTACTGAAACCGCCCGCGTACCCCGCTCATACGCAAACCACCAATCTGATAACCCAGACATCACGCGCGGTTGTAACGGGAACTTTCCAAAAATAGTTTGTCAGTAGATAAGATAAGATAAGTCAGCCTCCTTACCAACGGATCATCATGATGGCAGTACCTGATCCATAGCCTCTGCTAGCCACACGATCTCGTCGATCGTCGGTCACCAATCAACAGCGGCCATATCCTCTGCTGCTGCCAGCCACATGATCTCGTCTATCGTCGGTCACCAATCAACAGCCCAAAGTATCGGCCTGTAGCGCCCACGCACTGTATCTTCATGCGTACAAGTGACCAAGTGCGGTTCAATTAGCGACCTTGCTGCACCACTCACCAAACGTGCAAAATGAGAATGAATCTTCCCAGAGAACACGAAAAAATACACCACCATAATTTTTGTCTTTTCTGCATGTGGTGCATGGTGGAGCGAGGCCCTAGATCACACCATGGAAGTCGAGAAAGAATATACTCTAGCAAAAAAAAAAAAAAAAAAAAGGACAAGAAGAAGAAGAAAAAAAAGAGCCTTCTTCTTTCCACTCACCTCCT